ACCAGCTGGTTCCGAAAAGGTTTCATTAGATATTCCAGTGCTGCTCGACGGTCGCAAAGTCAGTGCTTTAGTTGACACGGGTGCGGATTTTTCTATAATAAGTGAAAAACAGGCTGCTCTCCTAAAGAAAGTGACGATGCCTTGGAACCTCAAGCCAATTCGTACTGCTGGCGGGCACATCGTCATGCCACTCGGCGTTTGCACAGCACGAATACAGATTCGTAGTTCAACCTTTGTTATCAGCTTGAGCGTTCTCCGTCAGTGTTCTCGAGACCTGATCATTGGCATGGACTTCCTAAGGGAGCACGGTGCTATCATCGACATTCGACAACGCCTCGTCACGTTCTCCTCAAAAAGTGCCACACCAGAGCATAATCCCGGACACGATCGAGTACGTCTGCGGGTAATTGACGATGCTGTGACGATACCACCGCGCTCTAGTGTTATGGTTCAAGTGGCTGGTAACAAATCAGCACACGGTGAAATGGTGGCGGAGAGCAATCGATCCCTACTCTTTTCCCAAAGTGTCTGCATAGCACGAAGCCTAGTATACCTACAGGATGGCCATTGCGAGGTACTTGTTACGAACTTCAGCTACGAGCGCCGACACCTTTTTCCTGGTACTGTCATCGCCTATGCCTACCCAGTAACTAATGTGACTGAGTGTTTTGCTTCCGAGGCAACCGATAATACCGAAGCACCTCTCCGGGGCGTCGACATAAATCCAACGCTTTCTGACGAAAACAAACGAAGGCTTAACGACCTGTTGATAGGATTCCATGCCTGTTTTGCACGTTCATCGAGAATCCGCCAAACATCGATTACCAAACACCGTATTATCACCTACGGCGACGCGCACCCTATACGGCAACAGCCTTACCGCGTTTCACCAACCGAACGACGCGCGATTCAAAAGCAAGTGAAGGAAATGCTTCAACACGGTGTAATACAGCCATCAAGTAGCCCTTGGTCATCGCCAGTGGTCCTTGTAAAGAAGAAGGATGGTACACTTCAATTTTGTGTCGATTATAGGAAGCTGAATAACGTCACAAAGAAAGACGTGTACCCGTTGCCTCGAGTGGACGATTCTCTTGACAGGCTGAGGCGAGCAAAGTACTTTTCCTCAATCGACCTCAAAAGTGGTTATTGGCAAATTGAAGTCGATGAACGTGACCGCGAAAAAAACGGCTTTTGTAACTCCTGACGGCCTGTATGAGTTCCGAGTGCTCCCATTCGGCCTCTGTTCCGCTCCGGCCACATTCCAACGAATGATGGATACCGTTCTCGCTGACCTCAAGTGGAAAAGTTGCCTCGTCTATCTAGATAATGTCGTTGTCTTTTCAAAAACGTTTGACGAGCACCTTCGTCGCCTTTGGAGTGTTTTTGAAGCCATACGACCCGCTGACCTTACCCTCAAGCCAGAGAAGTGCCATTTCGGCTACAATGAACTGAAGTTCCTGGGTCACGTTGTGAGCGCTGCAGGCGTTCCGCCCGATCCCGAGAAGACTGCCGCTGTGGCCTCTTTTCCAGCTCCGACAGACAAAAAAAGTCTTCAGCGATTTCTGGGGCTCTGCGCATACTATCGCCGCTTTATTGAAAACTTATCTAAGGATGCGGAGCCTCTCATTAGACTTACGCGTGACGACACCCCATTTCAGTGGACTGACGAACAAGCGACTGCCTTTGCGGAACTGCAACATCGATTGTCTTCCCCTCCTGTACTCGGTCATTTCGATAAGGACGCTGACACAGAGGTGCGCACTGACGCAAGCAACATTGGTCTCGGAGCTATCCTGCTGCAAACACAAGATGGGATTGAACGTGTGATTGCCTACGCGAGCCGCACTCTATCACGTGCCGAAACTAACTATTCAACGTCAGAGAAGGAATGTCTCGCGGTAATATGGGCGATTACAAAGTTCAGGCCTTATCTATATGGGCGCCCATTCAAAGTTGTGAGTGATCACCACGCTTTAAGTTGGTTGGCTAACCTCTGAGACCCCTCTGGGCGATTAGCACGATGGAGTCTGCGACTTCAGGAGTTCGATATCACCATTGTATACAAGTCGGGTAGAAAGCATGAAGACGCCGACACGCTATCACGAGCACCTCTGGAGTCCGACCGTACAGCTGTAGAAGACCGACAGCACCTTCCTGGGGACTCTCAGTGGGGCGGACCTCCTCAGTAAGCAACGAGCGGACCCCGAGTTAAGACCCATCATCGATCATTTAGAAGGCAGCACCGCCCCTGTTCCTCGTCCCCTTTCCCATACGTTGCCGTCATTTTGCTTACGACACGACATATTATACAAGAAAAACACTAGTGTTGGCAGCAGATCTTATCTTCTAGTCGTCCCTCAAGACCTTCGTGATGACATCCTATTAGCCTGCCACAATGAGCCGACATCCGGCCACCTGGGATACTCACGGACACTCGACCGGGTTCGAAAGCTATATTTCTGGCCAAAACTCGCAGCTTGTGTCAAACGCTACGTGAAAGGATGCTGGGAATGTCAGCGTCGCAAGTCACCACCTGTGAAGCCTGCAGGCCTCTTACAACCCATCGATCCACCGCGTACGCCGTTTGACCAAGTTGGGATGGACCTTCTTGGACCGTTTCCTTTGTCTCACTCCAGAAACAAGTGGATCATCGTCGCAACTGATTACTTGACGCGTTACGCTGAAACGAAGCTATTGCCATGCGGTACAGCATCTGAAGTCGCCCAGTTTTTCATGCACAACATTGTGCTTCGTCACGGTGCCCCGTCATTCATCATCACTGACCGAGGGACAGCGTTTACGGCAAAACTGTTGGACGACATCTTCAAGCTCAGTTAAACGAACCGCCGCAAGACAACCGCATACCACCCCCAGAGTAACGGCTTAACAGAAAGGCTGAACAAAACGCTGGCCGACATGATTTCTATGTACGTGGATGTGCAGCATAAAACGTGGGACGAAATCCTGCCATACGTAACGTTTGCGTACGACACCGCAACCCCGGAAACGACAAGGTTCGCTTACGGTAGAGACGTGCAAACCATGCTAGATGCTATGATTCCTTGTGACATCGACCAGCACGAGCTACTAACTCCCGATGTTGACGATTACATTCAGCGTGCAGAGGAAGCACATCAATTAGCTCGCGTGCACATAAGATCGCAGCAATGTGAAGACGCCCGAAGGTACAATATCCACCACCGACAAGTCTCCTACCAACCTGGCGACCAAGTGTGGGTTTGGACTCCTGTTAGACGGCGAGGTCTGAGCGAAAAACTCCTGAGCAAGTACTTCGGACCCTACAAAGTATTACGGCGGTTGAACGAGGTCAACTACGAAGTTATTCCAGACGGAGGCTCGGCAACGACACAGCGCAACTCACCACGAACAGAGATTGTGCATGTCGTCCGCCTAAAACTTTATATTACGCGGTGATACTCGCCTTATTATGCCCGGGCAGCAAACATTTTCGTTTTTTTTTTACATTGCCCGTTGGGTCTCGAACAAACTGTGAACTCTGTTAATGGCTTTTTCTCTTATGACCAACCTCAGACAATTTTTTTTTGCACCTGCATATGCCCTGTGCACTATAGCTACCGTTTCTCTTTTTTTTTCCCCTTATCGACCCTGCTGTCCCCTTGTGTATGAGCATCAGGTCGATGCTCTAATGGGAGGGGGAATAATGCCACTTAGAGTTGTGAGCCGGCAAGCCCTAGCGAGCCGAAAAGGGCAAGGATAACGAAGAAGAAGTGTGGTTAGCGCCTCGTTTTGAAGATACACGCTCGTGTCTTTCTGCGCCGCTGTTCCTGTCCCTTCTCTGCGGCTCTTGGTACGTGACAGTATGTTATGTCTAGTTTATTAATCTGATTGGTAAATGATACACAGCAACATTTACGGACGTTAGGCTCATTTTCCATTTTTGGCACCACGTTGATATTCGGTACAGATCATGCTGCAAAGTTTCAGCATCCTTGTGCAATTTAGTCACTCTAAACACTACACAATCATCTGTGAATAACTTAATGGGAGAGGTAATACCATCAACTATGCTATTAATATAAATCAGGAAAAGCAAAGGTCCTAATACGCTTTCTTGTGGTACACCGGTAGTAACTGTTACTGCAGATGATTTTGAGCTGATAAGCACTACGTTCTGCTATCAATCGTTTAGATAGTTCTTTACCCAATTGATAACTTTAAGGTTTATGTTTGCAGTGAGCATTGCAAATTCTAACAGATTGTGTGGGACGGTATCGAAAGCTTTCCGGAAGTCGAGGAACACTGCATCTACTTGAGCGCCACTGTCTATAGATTGTGCGAAGTAATGCTGAAATTCGATTAGTTAAGTTACGCATGAGCGTCTATTTTTGAAACCATGCTGAGATGGAGTGAGGAAGTTGATTGACTCTAGGTATTTAACTGTTTCACTATATATGATGTGCTCAAATAACTTACAGCAAATTGCTGTTAGCGAGATGGGCCTGTAATTTTCGACAAGCTTTTTATCACCTGATTTATGAACCGGGATATGTGTACTTTTACGCTCAATCTGCCTTGGTTCTTGTACCGTAAAGTGTGTACCATATGCTGGACCACTGGCTTCATGTAAATGAAGGTTAGACTGTTGAAAAGTTTGAAGTTTCACAAAACAAATTTTAGATGCCAATCACACCTCTTCGGTATTTATAACTCTAAGCCTAAAAAATGTCAGTGTAGCTCACATGCCGAACGAACTTGGGCCACTGCCTGTAGCATAGGTCCTTGCATATGTTTTCCAGATGCACATAATGCAGTGAAAAATCCACAGCACATAGTAACGGAGCCACACAAACACGAGAGCCAGGAGACTTCTGAGAAAGTCCATGTATGCTTCGTCTGTTTTTTTTTTGGGGGGGGGTGGGGGTCGGTAAATTTTCTTGCCATCGTCTAGAATTTTTGTGCTGTTTTGAGATAGTTTAGGCTTTTAGAATTTAATTTTATACTTTATTACTTTTTTGCAGGTGCTAAGCCTGCAGCCCTGAAACCATTGTCAACCAAGCGATTTCAGAAGATATGTGCGGATGTAGTGCACGACCTCAAAGAATATGGTATCTGTGTCATCGACAAGTTTCTGGGCAGGGAACGTGGCTCCCTGGTGTTTGACGAAGTAAGCGCATTAATGTATCGCCATCTTCGTGTACTGTTTGGCATCAGTATAGGCTTGAGGCTGATTCTTTTGGTGTTGCACCTGATCACTGACTTTTTCCGGTTCAGAGAGCTCACAAAACTATGAAAATCTAAGTGCTAAAGAAAGAACTACTTTACGCGGCAGCAGAAAGCACAAGACCGGGTTAATTGGCGGATCATGGGAGAGGCCTTTGTCCTGCAGTGGGCGTAGTCTGGCTACTGCTGCTTATGATAATATGGCTGCAACAAGTGTTTATATGTATTTCTGTCTTTGGTATTTTGTCATTTAGAATGTACTGTTTGTTAAGGCATAGTAAATTTAGAAATAAAGCAAGCCAACAGTACATTTATTCTACCCTATATGGTAAACTTAAGTGAGACTTGGAAGTGCTGTAGAAGTTTATTAAGCAAAATAGAAAAAAAATTATAATTTCCTCCTAATCTGTTAATCTGTTGGAAAGATCATCAATGAATAACTGCATCAACACTCAAAAAGGGGCTCAGTTTCGCAGCCTGAGTTTGTTTGGTGGAAAGTATTGTCTTTACAGCTCTGTTCACAACTTATGTCATCTTTTAGGTGATATTTCTTTGTCAAATCACAGAACCAGCATGTGCCTACATAACATTTTGTTTAATTTACAGTAGACTGAGTAAAAGAAACCTGAAGGGACTGAGAAAATGTGTTCTATTAAACAGGAGTTCCGTTTACTGGGAGATGAACATGGCTGCAGAATACAAGCACGAAACCAAACATTGCAGAGGCGATAGTTCCATTTAAGCAGTAGTTCCGTTTAACAGATTTTCGTTTACTGAGAGTCTACTGTACTTCTCATCATTTGATCACCTCGTGATCAATTCGTACCTTTTCAGCTTTTTTATAGGAAGTGCACCACTTGGTGAACATGTATGTGTGGCCACTGTACAGAGCTATCATTGTGCCTAATAGACTTATTTATATAGTTGAGCGTCTCTCTTGTTAGTCTCTTAATAGTCTTTTGTTAGTCTCTTGCGTCTTTCTTGTTAGTGCCCCTTTTAGTGCAGCCGACAGTTTTTTCATTCTTCATCCTAGAAACGTCACGCCGAACAGTTGGTTCACAGGAAAGCTGGTTCACATGTATACTGAGCGCATACGCAGTAAAACATCTGATTAATCAAGTGCTGCACTTCACTGCATTTTTTCTAAGGCATGTCGACGACATTTAAGCCACATTCTAAGAAGTTCCAATCCCTCATTGCATTGCATTGCATTGCTTTGCTCGGTTGCTTAGCCCATGTGAGTGTTTCATGTGGGATCTGCTGGTTTCATGTGGGATCTGCTGGTTTCATGTGGGGTCTGCCTGTTATAAATAATAGAGGCCAATAGTCCAGGTCACCAAAATGAGGTCAATACGAAGTGACACTGCAATCAGGTCGCCATGTTCGTGTTCCCATCCTTGCACCATATTTACTCATATCTATGCCAACCCCGATTCTAATGTTAAACTGTTCTGTGCAAAAAAATTTTAGACAATAAACACAAGAGACCAGGACCAGTCTGAGGTGGAATTCTCTTGTGTTCCTTGTCAAAATTTGTTTGCGCTGAGTAGTTTAATAATGGAATACAAAGTAGCCCATTCCCACACTCCCGATTCTTAGCCGATCTCCAAAAGTCCGAAGCTTGGGAAAAAAAAAATTACTTTGAAATGTAGGCTGGACAAAACAGCGAAGACAGTGCTCAAGAGAAAAAAACATTTATTGAACACAAAGATCAAACGAATCAGTTGGTTCAAGATGCAGATAACTTGAGAAACATATAGCCGCTAGTCCTGCTGCGTGTGTTTTTTTGTCGTCGCATTGGTTTTAGTTATTTGCATTATGAAGATACCGTGCTTGCCGATGCCACACTAATTCCGAGTCGTCGCTGTTTCTCTCGTCGCTGACTCTGAACAAAGTGCAATTTTCAGTGTCATGGGGTGCATTAGATGTGCCTCATTCCTTAAAAGAGCGCAAAACAAAGTTTTTGGGATGTCGTATCACGCTGCGCCCGCTCCAGCAACGCACATTTTTTTCATCCACTTCAAAGTCCCGTTCGACTTGAATGTTGAGCGACAACTCCATGGCTAGGACAACTTTCCTTTTATAAGCAGCACTATGATGACACCGCCTGTTTGACGCCAGGCGTCAAGCAGCGCGGGTGAAGCAAAATGTGCGGAAAATTTGCGGTGGCGCTTCAGTCACCTTCACCTGATGCTCCTGCACATCCGGGTTCTTGGGCCAGTGAAGCAGCGGCCATCAGCGCCCGTGGCCGTGACCCGTAGTTATTGCGAGGACTGCGGAAGTGCCGTGCTGTCGTCTGCCCGGCGTGGCATTGTCTGGGCGTTCTTTTCGCTGTTTGTTTGCTAGCTACTTTCAACCTTGTTAGCGCGAAAAAAAAAAAAAATTAGAACGCAGTGAAACTAGCCCTGCCGCTGTTAACCTTGAGCAGCGTGTTCAGTGAAATTAGTGTAGTGCCTCCCAAAATTCGAATTATTTGGGAGGCATGGTATGACGCCGTGCATGGCTTCGTACGAACGCTGCTGTAACGCAGCCGGATACACTTGAGACGCGAATGATGATATGTGCAAGTGCTGGCAATGGTGAAGCTGCCGCGGACGGCTTTCACGAGTGGCCGTAACAATGGCAGCATCAGTGATAACCATGGTAACCTTCAGGTGAAGGCAACGGAGGCGCATCTGAATTTTTTATAAAAAAATGCCTCAGCTTGGAGCTATGTGTGGACCCACTTCTCCATTCTAGTACAATCTAACTTAAGCAAGGTGTTGGCTCGGCTATGAATGGCTACAATACCATCTAGGTGGCGGTAGTTGTGCACCACTTTTCTCAATGAAAAATAGCGTGTTTTTCGAAATCCTAGAATCTAAGCGGACTCTAGAGTTTGGTACAAAGAAATTAGAAAAAAAAGCAATTGGCCTAGATTCAAATAAATACTATATGTTTGTACACGACGGCACACGGGCTCTATAATGACCTTTAAAACGCTGACACTACTGGGACGAGAGCCTACATCCAGTGGACCAATTCTGGGCTGTCTAGCGGGCCAGGACTATCGCCGAAGATCTCACTCGATGTACCACGAATGACAACCCCTGGAGGCCTACCTCGGGGCAGTAATTTCTTGCTGGATTAAGGAAGTTTATTACCTACTTACCTGCAACCTATAGTCGGTGACATGCTAAAAATAAAAAGTAAAGTGCACCACTTTTCACTTGTATTATGTGCGTCCAACTGCGGCCGCTCTTTGCTATGATGTAAGAGTTGCGATGAAGCCATGACCAATTCAACATGGTGCTGTTTGAGACAAGAGGTGATGTGCCGCTGCACTGAGACTAGCAGGCGTCAATTCGGTTTTCCTGTGGCGTTTTCGTCATCAAGAAAAGCTATTTCCTAGTGTTATCCGCTCCCATCAAGGATCATCCTCGCCGGTCATCATTCGATGCAGACATTTCTGATTTTGCAACGTTTGAAGTGCACAGAACTGGCAGAGCTTTATTGCGTTCTGTCATTTCTGCTCTGTTTCTAGTTGCATCAGAGAAATGCTGCGCTTGCCGATGCCGCGCTCATTCCTAGTTGTCGCTGCTTCTCTCGTCGGTGACTTCTCTGTCGCTGTCTTCAAACAGTGGGCAATGCTTAGTGCCAACAGGAACATTGGATATGCCGGCACTTCTTAAAAGAACGCACAAGGTCTGGAGTTGTCGTTCCATGCTGCAGCCCCTCCAGCGACGCTACACTCCAAAGTCTCGCCCGACTTAAGTGTTGGACACATACTCCACGGTCATGGCAACTTTCCTTTTATAAGCGGCACTATGATGACATCGCCTGTTTGACGCCATTGAGCTACACCACACACAGACCACTCGAAGCACAACTCAAAATGACAAATGGGCTGCTGCATTACTCGCCACAAAGATCAAAATGAGGGCCTCATGCTTGTACTTAAGCAAGATGTTGGCTCAACTACTAATGGCTATAATGCAGTGTAGTTGCAGCTAGTTGTGCACCGCTTTTTCCCAATGAAAACTGGCGCACTTTTCGAAATCCTCGAATCTAAGCCGACCCTGGAGTTTAATGCAATGAAATTAAAAAAAAACTGTTGACATAGATTCGAGTAAATATATTTTTTCTTAGGTACTTGGGATAAGCAAAAACCAGTTTTATGCACTAAGGGACAGAAAAACAAAATAACTACCAATATGGATAGGATAGTTAAAATAGCGGAGGAGTTTTACAGAGATCTGTATAATGGCAGGGACAACCAGGTTTGTAATATAAGAACTAGCAGTAACCCAGATGGCATCCCACTGGTAATGATAGAAGAAGTCAGAAAAGCCATGGAGGGAATGCAAAGAGACAAAGCTTCTGGTGAGGATCAGATAGCATCAAATCTGCTGAAAGACGAAAGACAGATAGTGTTAAAAAACTAGCCAACCTGTTTACGAAGTGTCTTCTGATGGGAAGAGTACCAGAATCTTAGTAGAATGCTAACATCTTAATACATAAGAAAGGAGGTTAGCTTGCCCTCCTTGTATACAAGCTATTTACAAAGATAATCGCTAACAGAATTAAGACAACATTAGAATTCAGTCAACCAAAGGAACACGCAAGATTTCGGACAGGCTATTCAGCAATTGACTACATTCATTACATCAATCAGGTAATAGAGAAATGTTCAAAATACAGACAACCACTATAAATAGCCTTCATAGATTACAAGAAGGCATTTGATTCAGTTTAAATATCAGCAGTCATGCAGGCACTGTGGAATGAAGGCGTCGACAATGCATATATAAACATCCTGCAAGAAATCTACCGGGCATCAACTGTTATCATAGTGCTTCATAAAGAAAGCAACAGAATACCAATCAAGAAGGGTGTAAGGCAAGGGTATACCATCTCCCCGATGCTATTTACCGCGTGTTTACAGGAGGTTTTCAGAGGCCTAGAATGGGAAGAGTTAGGAGTAAAAGTTCGTGGAAAGTACCTTAGTAACCTATGCTTCACCAATGACATTGTATTGCTGAGTAACTCAGGAGACGAATTGCAACTCACGGTTACAGAGTTAAACAAGGAGAACAGAAAAGTAGGTCTTAAAATTAATCTGCAGAAAATGGAAGTAATGTACAATAATCTCGGAAAAAAACAGCGCTTCGAGATATGTAATGGTGCACTTGAAGTTGTAAAAAACTACGTCTACTTAGGACAGGTAATAACCGCGAAGCCGAACCACGAGATTGAAGTACCTAGAAGTATAAGAATAGGGTAGAGCACATTTGGCAAGCACTTTCAAATTATGACTAGTAGATGGCCACTATTCCTGAAGAGGAAAGTATATAACAGCTGCATTTGGCCGGTACTCATCTACGGAGTAGAAACCGGATGATTTACAAATATGGTTCAGCTGAGGACGACACAGCAAGCGATGGAAAGGAAAATGATAGGTATAACCTTAAGATACAATAAGAGAGCAGAGTGGATTAGGGAACAAACGGGGGTTAAGGATATCATAGTTGAAATAAAGAAGAGGAAATGGACATGGGTCAGGCATGTAGCGCGTAGACGGGATAACCGCTGGTCATTAAGGGTAACTGACTGGATTCCCTGAGAAGGCAAGCGGATTAGGGGGAGACGGGAAGTTAGGTGGGCATTTGAGATTAAGAAGTTTGTGGGTATAAATTGGCAGGAGCAAGCACAGGACAGAGTTGACTGGTGGAACATGGGAGAGGCCTTTGTCTTGCAGTCGACGTGGTCAGGCTGATGGTGATGATAATGATGATTTATTTTTAGATTGAACACAGATCGCTATGCTTTTTCTTGCTTTAGTGGACTTCTCATTGCTTCCTGATGAATTACTGATAGTGATAAAAATGATGACATGACTCATGTTTGGAAGGGCATCAAGCAAATTGCCACCAGAGGCTGTTTGCTTGGAAGTTTGCGTGACCACTTTGGTTGTGTCATGACATTAGCAAACGGTGCCTCAGTGAAGTGTTGATCACAGTGACTTGTTTCAGGTATGTGTTACATTGCTTCTGCTATTTTTTTAAACACGATAGTCTTTCTTGGGGACCTTCGACGTAAAAATTTTCGTCTGTCTGTCTGTCTGCACATTTGTCTGTTTGTCCTCTTTTAACATCGGGTACTTGAAACGGCCGACCCCATCCGCAGCGCCCACCAATGTTGCTCGAGTTTTAACATTTATACTTGTGCAGTTGTCAATTAAAAAGCGACTATTGTGCATGTCTGGGCACCGTAACAACACGTATATAATCTGCACTTGCGTCTTTTACTAGAAGAGGCATGCATAAGTAATTTTAAGGACCGTAGCGCTTATGACGCTGCGCTGACCATGAAACCCTTGCACAAAAAGGCGAGGGTTTCCAACACTTTGCTAAGACGAGACGGTAGTGGCACCTACCTGTTGCCTTGTGTTCTACACCTTATCACCTCTGAGACGGGCACGCACACCCATCTCAGAGTCATGCGCTTCGTTTTCCAAAGAAACTGCCAGATGACGCTCATGTCTCATGTGGAACGTGACTTGATGCGCTCGTTCGCCTCCGCTGCACGCTCGAGGCACTCGAACGCAGTGTCTCCAGAATACCATTCACTGATTTTCTTGCGCAGAACATTAAATAAATGTTTTGTTCACTCTCTACACACACAAGACTATCGTCTTTCGACGACATTTGTAGATTAACATGCAGATATGGGGCCAATTTTTTTTCTTTCTTCTTGTCTTCTTGCCACTGTGGGCAAATGCGCGAATGTGCCCTCGCCTTCTCTCTAAACAAAAATAAGCTTTTGCATAGGCAGTGCCACAATTTCAGTCAGCGTCATTAATGTGGGGCTGCCTTGCATATGGAAGGTGCTTTACCAAATAGTTTTCCACTGTATCTATCTCGTTCATTTTCGATGCCGTGCATGCGTGCATGATTTCACTGCACGAAATAAATCGAGTACATGTATGAGTGTCGCTGGATGAACTGTTGCAGAGCAATAGCTCCCCTGCGAAAAGCGTCTCTCTTTCCTGCTCTGGTGTTTGCAGGTGTATAGTCTCTATGGGAGTGGTGAGTTCCAGCATGGGCAGCTGGTCAGTGAGCGGGATGACACGGGCCGCATCATCAGGGGTGACCGCACCCTCTGGCTGGATGGCACCGAGGTGGGCTTTCCTGCTGTTGGTTTTCTTGTGCGAACTCTGGATGCCATTATCAGCCGATGCAACAAAAGCCAAGAACTGCGACACTACTGCATCAGCCAGCGCACCAAGGTCGGCCCTTCTCACTCCTATAGCAAATAATTGTTGCTTAGTAAAAGGCTTTGTGCTTGCACTTCCCTCCTATACTTTGTCGACTGTAACAACCCTACTGGTGTAATGAGCAGATGCTTTTCAAAAGCTGGAAGGGATTCAGTGTGATGACAGTCTTTCTGGTCCCTGAAGAGCAGAATGAATGGTTGCAAAGCCTCCCTGGCAGTCTCGATATATGCCTGGTAAATTTTTGTGCATATTTTGAATGTATTTAATATTTTATTATGTATGTAAGAAAAATATAGGATAGCATGTAAAACTAAGCAAACATCTCGAACAAATAAAATGTGTATAATACATTCAAATCTCATCATTTCGAGCACGCTTAATTCGAAGTTCCATTTAATTCTAACTCGCAATGAGGTCCCGTCAAAGCTATGTGTGTTCCAATGGGCGAAAATGCCCAGTAATTCGAATGCCCAAGCACTTCCGATGCTTCATTCGAACATACGCACTTCGAAAATTCTCTCAGCACCCCGCCCAACCGCTCGGCAGCATCTGCGACACCTCAACGCTGTCCACGAAGGAAATGAAAGGAAAGGCTGTGGTGGAATATTTTCTCTCTCTCAAATGCCGATCTGCGACGCCCCTGTGTCACGCTTCTCCCTTTTTCGTTCCTGCCACGTAAAGACCCTCCTCCTTCCTACGTCGCGCGCGAAGAGAGAGAGGAAAAAAAAGAAAGCTGTCACTGGGTTGAATGAATGTGTGGTTGGAGGAAAGGAAGAAGGCACTATCTTCTGCAGCCCTTGCCCCTTGCGGGAGCATGGCTCTGCGCCTTGAGGAAGGGGTCTTTCGCGCTGGTGCCACGCTTCCCTCTTTCCCATCCCTGTACGTAACCCTTTTCCTTTCAGCGACCCGTGCGAAGAGAGCAAAAAAAAAAAAAAAAAGCTGCCGTGGAGTCTTGGCTTTCCCTCAAATACTGATCTGCTTCTCGTCATATGCTGGCCATGCTGCAGCTGCGCAGCGGGGGCTCCACTATGCAGCAGTCGTTGTTGTTGTCGTCTTTAGAAAGTGTCGGTGCTGGACATTTTCGCGTGCAACTTCTCTTGCCAAATGCTGAAGCCAAAATAGAAATGCTGTGCAAGCTGCGTGCGAAATTAATTGACTCGCTGCAAGGCAAACGTGTGCATACGCATATCATCGATTACTGCAATTAATAACAGATGTCCTGTGATTTGGGCATAAATGTATGTTTCCCTAAACTTCCCATAAACGTATGTTTCCCTTGTGTGTTAGCTTAGTGCACATGCACCACTGCATGGAGAGCCCTCCGTATATTTAGCTTTCATTAATTCGAACGTCCTTTAGTTCGAACGAATTTTCGGCCCCTTCGAGTTCGAATTATCGAGATTCAACTGTATGTGAAAAATATGGCTTTGACGGCACCTGTATTATTTGTCAGGAGGCTGAGACCTCGCAGGAAAATTTCGTATTTTTATTCTGCAAAATAAACATTGTTCACTGTTCAAATCTCCACAGACGACTAATTATCGTTCTCGCTTCCTAAAAGTGTTCCATGAAAATAAGGCGACATTACAGGATAACAAGGAAACCTCGGTGGTACAAGCAACGTGGGGTCACGAAAAATATTTGTATCAATCAAAACTTGTATCGCAAAAAAAAACATGGAAAGCAACCTTGCCAAATCAGCATGGTGCTAGTATGTATGCCTAAACAGTAAAACTGGTGTGTGATTAAGGTTTTTCACTTCCAGGACTGCAGCAACATCTCTATGAATGAATGACTTGTGAGAAAAGTTGTCACATTTTTGAAATGGCCGTAGAACGTCTGTTCTTTTTGCATTGCATATATCTCCCTCTACAGAATATTGCTGCTTGCTGATTCACTTTTTTAATTTTCACAGCTCAAAGGAATCTTGCTTAGAAAGGCACGTGATTGCTTAGATACATTGAAAACTTCATATTGTATGAGAAAACTAGGCTTGTGCAAATAGTGAATTTTGGGTTCGAAGCGAATAGTGATTTGGTTCAAATAATTTCTAATTTAATTTGAATAGTATATATTTACATATGAGAAAGACATTTCATATTCGTTAAACCTTAAAGTGGGGCTTTGGATCAGTGTGGATTTTCTCTGAAAAAGTGCAATTCATGGTATGGCACCCCTTTAGTGCAGTGAAGCCACCTTTAGAGTGGTATTCTATGCATTTCGAATATTTCAAAATTTTGAATAATTGATAGTCAAATTGAAGGAAATTTAAGTACGGTAATATATATTTGAAATATTCAAGTGCTGGAAATATTCACACAAGCCTAGAAGTGACTGATAATGATTGCAGCAGCGCTGACATGAGGAGGCTTTTGTTGTTTTTTGTGTGACGTTCACAGGCCATGATAGCTTGCTACCCGGGCAATGGGACGCATTATGTGAAGCATGTGGACAATCCAAACCAAGATGGCCGTTGCATCACCAGCATCTACTACTTAAACAAAAATTGGGACGTCCAGGTATGTGGTAGTTTTAAAGTGGACTTGTGTGTAAGCACTTAAGAATACTGTTTATGCTATTGGTTTTAGTTTTCGATACTACCAGTTTTATGTTACACAGTTATAACTCAGTATACAGTCAAACCTCAATATATAGAACACAGATATATCGAATTAGTGCCTATATCGAACGGTTCCTATATCACGCAGGAAATCGCATGCATTATTGATTTTTTATTTCGAACAAGGTTTGACATATAATGGATTTGTCGAACTCAGCCACCCCAAACCGCCCGCGCTCCATTGACAGGCGGCGAGCTTTCCCGCAACTCTCTAAAGTAGCGGTAGAGCAGCGGGCGTTTACGAATGCTGCACACATCGATGGTGCCGAGAGCGCCACTTTAACGTAGTGGCGTACGCGCCGCAGCCTTGTGGTAGAGGTTCTTGAATGAAGAAAGTGAAGAGGAAAGCGCGGAGCTGTTATTTTCTTTTAATACGAAGGCACCGACACGGCTTCGCGGGGGAAGGGAGAGTGGGAGGTAAAGATTGAGGAGGAAAGTATAGGAGGGAAAGGACGCAGACGACTGTCTCGGACGCGGCCCGCGCTGCCGCCGGGAAAGGGAAAGCAGTCAGGCGAGTCGGCAGGGGCGCGCCATGTACGCGCTTTACACCCGGACCGACGCCGCAGCCTTGCAGCTTGCAGTCGTTGCAGTCTCTATGGTGTCAACGGCACACTGCGCACTTGTTGCAAGCTCCTCCCCCGTAGCATCGGCAGTCATCGGTCATTGTGCTCGCAGTGTTCGTGCGTTCGGAGTTAGGCCTGTCGCGCACTGTTCGGAGTTGGGCCTGTCGCGCGCTGTGGTGCGCGACAGGCCTAACTCCGAACGGCAAAGCTCACGGCCGAGCTCACTGATGTGGAGATTGTCGCCGAAGCTACTGCTGAGCAGCCAAATGAAGACTCTGCCGAGGTGGATCCCGCAAGCGCTGATGGTGCCCCGCTCCAGACATCAACTGAGGTCATAGCTGCCTTGGCCTTTGTGCGCCTATCACTTATCACTTTGTGGCCTATCACTTATGGATCGCCTGGACTATATTGAGGACGCAGTCGTCAAACACGCCATGGCCAACAAAAAGCAGGCTACTCTTTTTCAATATTTTAAACCAACACAATGAATACTATGTTTGAATCTTCAAGTGAGTATTTACTGCACCACGCTTGAACGGTTCGTTCAAGCGTGGTCGTTTTCAGCAAGCTGTTGACGCATTTTTTTCGTGATTTTTTTATATCGAATTCTGGATATATTGAACTATTTCTCGATCGCCGTGCCGTTCGATATATCGAGGTTCGACTGTAATAAAGATGGCAAAATCTAAAATTTTCTCTCTTATATGAAAACGTCATTGAATTAAAAATCAGTCTTTTGTGTAAGATTTTTGTAGAAATTCATGATGAAATTGGCAGAATCCTATAATGAGCACAACACGCAGTATTGGGGAGCCACAGTATATAAATAACTGTTTCAAGTGTTTCTTTTTAGCTGGACAATTGTCAAACTTGGTGAAGCCCTGTTAGTCACGAAGCTATTATTATCATCATCATTCACTTCGTCCTTGCTCTCAGAATGTGCTTGCTTATTTGTCGGGCATGGAAGCCATTAATCCTGGTGGGCGAAAAAACGAGTGCAAAGATAAACATATGGAAAAAGAGAGGCAGTGCAGCCGACTTCCTTTTTTTTTTTGTGCCAGCTTAAGCGAATAGTAAGCTTTAGGTCCGAAGCAAATAATTTCAAATAGAATTCGAATATCATATATTGGAAAGAAAAATGAGCATATTTGTCATGACCCCAATAAGCTGTAAAATATTTTTCTAAAATTTAAACATGACATGTGCAAATGTCATTCTTTTTGCTTCAAATGAAGTGTAAGCAGCTCTGAATCTGACTACAGTTAAACCTGCTTATAACGAACCTGCATATAACGAATTTCTCGATGTAACTAAGTTTTTTTATTTCCCAGTCATTACTCCATAGAAGCACATGTATTTGCGACCTCTATGTAACAAAGTAACAGCGGAAGGCTTGCTTGATATAATGAATTTTCGCCATAGATTTTGTCATTTTCGCACAAGCATGCATCATCCGCGGTTGACCCGCCCGGCGCACACAGTGCGCTCATGGTCCCAGTGACTGTCAGGTGAGGTCGCAAGGTGGGCCTGCGCCCCACAAGCAGGCACTTTCGCCGTTCTTGCCGCCGCGAGTGAATGCGCGGATGTGCCCTCCCCCTCTCTCCAAACAAAAATACGCATTTGCATTGGCAGTGCCACAATTGTAGTTAGCGTCACGCATGTGGGGCGGCCCTGCATATGAAGGGCGCTTTACCCAATAGTTTTTCATATCCATCTCGTTTGTCTTCGCGACCATGCCGTGAGACCATGCCGTGTGGGCATGGTCTCACTGCACGCGTATGATGTGGCCCTCGCCGACGTTCAGCTTTGTTTCTTCCCTGTTTTTTTTTTAATGCAAACAATCGTGTTGTCACCACCTAGGGGATGTCAGATTGGGTGCTGATGGAAACTCTGACACCATGGTGACAATTACGGATAGTCGGAGGTCAACTCGTCACGCGCTTCCGTCTTGCGCCGCGTTTCGAGTTTGCGGGACCGTAGCCTTCGTAATTAGCTCTGGCAACAATACAACATACGTTTAATGCAATTCGATGGATGCGGTAGCAACAAATTGTTATAATATATGAAGCAAGGCTGGCATCGAACTCTTTTGGATCTGATAGAGTGAAAGTCCTGCAAAACGCTAGTATAAGCAAATGTGGCCGCTCCATGTAGAACTGCTTTTTTGAAACACAGTCTCTTTGCTCTGAAAGTGCACTGATGCTTGCCGAGATAGCATGTGCACCAGCGATCGCACCCTTTAAATAAAAGTTCACCGTAGCTACTGACCCCCTCTGGGTTTTTTCGTGCTCGTTCAGGACGGCTGGTTTTTCTTTCTGTTTGAAGATTTGACAGGATTTCTAACACACGGGGGATGTTATTACATGTGCCTTCCAGGCAATGGAGAAGGACCGGCTCATTTGATCTCTGCTTCAACAGCGCTTGCACGCTTTTACCTGCTCCCAAAGTTATGATCCACAGCGGCGCGTTATCTACAGACGGACACGGACATATCAAACTTGAAGAAGATCGCGAATTATTTCGGTATATGAAAAATTCAATATAAAAAATAGAGGCCCCGAGAGCTTACCTGTAGCACATCATCACGTACAATTTGCGCATTAAAGAATGACACGCTGCAACAGGATTGTTTATTTGTGTAAAAAAAAAATCGCTAACCTTGCCCTGCTTCTTCATTTTTAAAATGTTGAAGACGCTAATCTCGATCTTATCACAACTCGGGAAACGCATCGTCTATACGCTTGTCGTCGTCTTCACCGGTTTCTGCAAGTTCCGTCATCTCGAAACCTGCCTTGCGGAAGCAGTTGACCACTGTGTTCGTCTTCACGTCTCGCCAGGCATCGAAGATCTCCGCGGGAGAAATCTTCGCGGAAATTTTCGGCCACTTCTTCGTCATCCACTGCTGGATGTCCTGGCTGCTGACAGCTTCGCTTTCACCAGAAATGGTTTTGCCAACAATGTTGTAGCGCTGCTTAAATCAGTGAAGCCAGCTGCTGCTGTCGGTGAAGTTGTTCACCAAGTATAGCGGCAAACCATTTGGCCTCGGCGATCAGCATCGGCATCCAATGGAATGTTCTTTGCGCAAACTTCTAAAAACCAGGCAGTGCCTTTTCTACATCCCCTTAGGCAGAAGCGCGCACATGACAGGCTCCTGACGTTTGCTTCTCTGCCGCCTTTACCTTGATATCTGCCCCGTTTTTGAACAAGGTACTCATAGTGCTTCGCGGTATCCGGAAGTCGTCCGCAATGGTCGAACATATCTCGCCTGCCTCAACACGTCGAAGAGCTTTCAACTTCATCACAAAGTCGGGGGTCTTGCACTTCTTGACGCTGGCTGTAGGTACACAAAAAGTCCGCAGCGGCTTTGCACACCACGCTTGCAAAAGAGAAATGCTCGGCATGCGGTGGTACGTAGACGACGCGATAGCTAGAGAGCAACAAAGCGTGAGAGCAACAAAGCGCTCGCGAGGTGATGGCTACCTGTGAGGGCAACAGCATAAGGTGCGAGCTGTGGTTGGCTGATGAAACTTCACAAAACAGCAACGAAAAATAAAAGGCAAAAAGAGGAGGACGGCAGCTCCTTCATTCCTGCTCTGAGCAGACGATTACGCAGAGAAAGCATGAGAAAGAGAAACAGAAAAAAAAAAAAGCCGTTCTGCAAGTTGGAGATTGCGCAGTCTGAGCTCTCTCGCCCTTATTTATTTTTTCGAGCATTTTGAGTTTTGGCGGAGGCGTGGTGCCACAGGGAGGTCGCTGGGCGCTGTTGCGATTGCCAAAAGCGCGCCTTCCAACTCGCTCGTGAAGCCGCACTGCCGCCGAGATCACGAGGGTGAGGAAAGGGGAAGGGGCAAGTTCCGAAGCGCACCTTTCAGCTAGCGTGGCGATCGACATATCTGAAGGCAGATAAAAATACCGTTAGATATAAACGTGCGGATTTCGATACTTTTACAAAGGAATTTCAAGGGGATAACTTGCAAGTTCAATATACCTGAAAATTCTATATATGTGGGTTCGATATAATCGTGTTCGACTGTATTTGGGCTTGTTTCAGAACAAGGCAGCGATGGGGAAAATTCGCCGAGAGTATCTGTATAATGGCTATCGCAATAATAACACTTTTACCGACAAATAAGTGTTTTGGGATAGCTCTGCCTTCAGTTTCCATCTTAATTTGGGTGCTTATTTTTCAAATTTTTGTACCAAACATGCAAAGAAATTCTCTTTATAACTAATTTTTCCGGCAATTTTTCATTTTCCTAATATCCAGGTTTAACTGTATCAGTAGAATGCTAGTGTTACCTGTAAAACGTATTATGTTTTAAAATTTACTGTATTAAGCGCATATATTTCTACATAACAAGCTTTTAACTTGAAAAAGAAAGAATCGATGTGAGAGTAATATGTTCATTTAACCTTAAAGTATGGATTTTTCCTGGAAAGGGGTATTCACGGTATATCACCCGTCTGCTGCCATGGTACCACCGACTGGTTACATGTGGGAAAATGTACACCTGCTCGTTCATTTCATGTACTTGGAAAAACTTTCTATCATTTAAATTTAGGCTTGTGCGAATAGTGAATTTTAGGTTCAAAGTGGATCACTATTCACTTCAAATAGTGATTTTGGTTGAATAATTTTGAATTGAACATGAATACTATTCATCGCAAATTATAACAAAAAAGGGCATATTTTACATGACCTAATTTTTTGAAAAAAATTGACACAAGGCCTGTGCAAATGTCTTAATTTTTTTTCAAAGAAAGTGGGAACAACTTTAATAGTAGCGGGATTTGACTTTCAGGAGAATGCAAGTGGTAGCCTGTAAAATAAGTTTCTTTAAAATTTATCATACTTCAAGCATATAAGCCATTATGACAACCTTTTATAAACTTAAAAAATGGTGAATCGATGGGAGGGTACTATGTTCATTTAACCTTGACATGAAGCTTCGTGGCAGTAGATTTTTTCCTTGGTAGGTGTTTTTACGGCTTAGCACTTTTTTGCTGTGAAGCCATCTTTGTAGGTGGTTACATGCAGACAGGTGCTTTCACTGTTTAGCACGTCTTCACTGCAATGGAATCATCTTTACGGGAGATATATGTGGGTTAATATATATCAATCATTCGTTCATCTCGAATATTTGGAAATTTTCAATAATTCAAATTGAAATTGAAGCAAATTTGAATACTGTAATATTTATTTGAATGTTAGAAGCATCTGAATATTCGCACAAGTCTATTCAAGTTTTATTCTAAGTGCTTGAATATTGGACTACAGACGATGCCTTGTCTGTGTGCACCAGACTCAGGGAGGCCTGCTGCGCATGTTTCCCGTGGGGCAGTCTACCAGTGTGGCCAACATCGAACCTATCTTTGACCGCATGCTCTTCTTCTGGTCTGACCGAAGGAATCCTCACGAGGTGCTGCCAGCCTACGCCATCAGGTGAAGCCAAAAAACAAAGGCTTCTTCACTAATGGTCCACGAGACTACCTCTTCATTGCTCTGCTTTGGTTGTGCATTTAGGTTTTGTCTTGTTCACTGTGTGAAAAGCCCATTGTTGTTTAGGCACACTGGAGTTGCTAGTTAAATATCAGTGGAAATTAAGTGGGCTGTTATGCTGCCGAGTGTTGATGTAAATAACAGAGGATGGTTTTGATTGGACTAACAATCTGCAACATCCGTAAGTGCTGCTGGCAGAATGCTCAAATTTAATGCAAGTCATTTTGCATAAATTTTCGTTTTAGTGTCGGCATCAGTAGTTCTGAGCAAAAAAATCTGTGTTTTTTCTCAGGTTCAAAATAGGTGCAAATAAATAATTAAAACTGTGGTTTGAGTGGTAATCGAAGCCAGACCTGCGCAGCAAGCAGGTGTTCGACCACACTATTGCTTAGTACTACAGCTGTGCGAATAGCAAAATTTTGGGTGTGAAGGGGATTTGAGTATTAAGGTACGAATGCAAATCTCATGAAATATTTTTCAAATAGTTCTCGAATAGTTTTATAATACCTGAAAGCAAAATTGTAGGAAAAAGTTAGAACGAATTTTGAAGCATGTAAGAGGAACACGCAAGTTTGACGAAGTGCTGGTAGGGTTGTCCTTCATAGTGGTCATGTTGTCACGAGGTCGTGCCGCAGATGAACGGAGTAGACTGGATTGTCAGACGAAACTATTTATTTGGCCAAACTTGTGGCCATGCGAAATAAAAGTCAGATTACAAGAAGACAGTGGCACTGATAGCGGCGAACAGAACATCGGCCATCAATCAACTGACAAGCGGTGAAGCGCGTCGGCATTTACACATGTGCTGACGACTATTCTAGCATTATCACTAGCGGCCGCATAGGTTCCAGAATAATCTGTAATGTTAGCGAAGGGGGCGTAATCTTAACAAAATGGTCTACTACAGTACTGAAGCTTCTCAAACACTGCAGGCATGGTTTGGACGGAGAATTACCAACACTATAACGAGGCGATAACAAAACTAGAGGAAGGAATGTGGTATTGCCCCCTTCTAAACAAGGCATCGTCCTGATGCTTTAACAAAAGATAAAAGCACAATAATAAAATAAGAAAATATATTATAAGTATAAGCAATAAATCACAGCAACAACAAGTATCAGTCTTCAGGTTCACTGACGCTCATGAAGTGGCTTTAGGCGGATGACATGGACGTCTTCGGGTCATGCATGGCACCGTTGTGAGAGTTTGTAATGCCTTCGGGGACAACTTCATAGTTGAACGGGCCGAGATGTCGAACTACCGTGTGTCGCAGAAGTTTTAGGGGCAAAGCTCCTCTTAGTCTAACCTTGTTCTGCGTCAGGTCTAACTGGCAGTGTCAGACAGACAAATGGATAGACAAACCTACAGACGGACAGACGGATGTACGGACGGACGCATGGATGGACGAATGGACGGATGCACAGATGAACGCTTGGAAAGACGAACACAGACAGATCAACAGACAGGCAGACAAACAGACAGACAAATGGACAGGCAGATGAACAGACAGACTAGCTGACAGATGCTTCACCCCACTCATCATCATTCGCTCAGTGGATATGCTGTGATTGTTTTTTGCATAGTCCACCTGAGCGTATCAGCATCCACACCAAAACGCGGTCACTGGGCTGGTATTCCACGAACCTTCGTCGAAGATTGTAACTATGGCTGTTGGTTCTTGATGCAGAAGCGGCCCAGTAGTCGGGTTTCTGCGTCGCACTGTAGGTAGACGGTGATGTCGAAGTTTTCTTCGTCAGCGACGTTGGGCAGCGTGCTGTCGAGTGTTGTTGCCGAATTTCTTCCGTAGACCAACTTGTATGGTGTCATCCGCATCGTCTCCTGCATGCCCGTGTAGTACGTGAAGGTCAAGTAGGGAAGGATGGCGTGTTATGTCTTGTGCTCGACATCGACATACATGGCTGGTATGTTGGTGATGGCCTTATTTAGACGCTCGGTCAGGCCATTGGTTTGTAGGTGGTGTCATGTCTTGTGCTCGTCATTGACATACATGGCCGGTATGTCGGTGATGGTCTTATTTAGACGCTCGGTCAGGCCATTGGTTTGTGGGTGGTGTGCAGTTGTCTGGCAGTGGCTTGTCTGGCTGTATCTCACAATTGTCTGAATCAGGTCAGCAGTAAACGCCGTACTGCTGTTGGTGATCGGAACCTCTGGGGTGCCGTGTCAAAGGATGATGTTCTCAACGAACCACTTGGCTACCTCCAAGACCTTGTCTTTGGGCAGGGCTCTTGTTTTGGCATAGCCTGTGAGGTAGTCAGTAGCCACAACGATTCATTTGTTCACGGAATTCGATGTCGGGAATGGTTCCAGGAGCTCTATCTCGATCTGCTGAAACTGTCGCCGGAGAGGGTCGATTAGCTGGAGGATGCCTGCTGGTTGTGGGCGGTGTCTTTCGTTGTTGACAGTCTAGGCACGTCCTTATATAGCAAGAGACGTCGGGGGCAAGGCGCAACCAGTAGTACTTTTCTTGTACTCTAGCAAGTGTGTGAGGAAGTTTGAGGTGTCCAGCGGTGCGGTCGTTGTGTAGAGCCTGAAGAATTTGTGGTCGCATTACCGAAGGTACAATGATGAGATAGCTGGCTCGAGCAGGGGAAAATTTTTTTTTTAAGACCACATTGTTCAAGAAAAAAAAATTGGCCCCGTATCTGCATTTAATCTGCAAATGTCATGGGAAGACGATAGTCTTGCGTATGGAGAGAGTAAACAAAACATTTATTTGATGTTCTGCGCAAAGAAATCAATGAATGGTATTCTGGAGACACTGCGTTAGAGTGCCTCAAGTGTGCAGTAGAGGTGAACGAGCGCATCAAGTCACGTCCCACGTAAGACGTGAGCGCCATCTGGCAAGTTTCTTTTTTTTTGGAAAACGAGGCGCCTGGATCTGAGACGAGTGTGCACGCTCATCTCAGAGGTGATAAAGTGTAGAACGCAAGGCAACAGGTAGGTGTCACCACCATCTGGTCTCAGCGAAGTGCTGGAAACACTCATCTTTTCGTGCAAGCGTTGCATGGTCAGCGCAGCGTGATAAGCGCTATGGTCCTTAAAATTACGTATGTATGCCTTTTCTAGGAAAAGATGCACATGCAAGATATATACGTGTTGTTATTGTGCCCCAGACATGAGTAATAATTGCTTTTTAATTGACAATTACACATCCATGAACGCTGAATCCTGAGCAACATTGGTGGTCGCTATGGATGGGGTCGGCCGTGTCAAGTACCCGATGCTGTTAAGAGTGGACAAGCAGCCAAAATGTACAGACAGACAGACAGACAGATAAAAATTTTTGCATCGAAGGTCCCCAAGAAAGACTATCATCTTTAAAATTATGCCAGTCGTCGCTTGAATATTTGTGTGACAAGGGTGGTCCGGCCCTTGAGGTATTCCACTAGGCCCCTCAGTTCCAGGTCGGCTTGCTCTCGCTCGACAAAGTCGTCGGCACTTATGCCTCCTAAGAAGCACTCATCATCTTGGTCATTTTGTGGTGGCGGATCGACGGGGGCAGGAGAAAGGCAGTCGACGTCGGAGTGTTTCTTTCTGGACTTGTACACGAGGCTAATGTGCAATTCTTAATGTATTAGGCTCCACTGTGCGAGACGACCTGAAAGGCTGTTCAAATTAGCTAGCCAACACAGGTCGTGGTGGTCGCTCAGAATTTTGAAGGGCCTGCCGTAGAGGTGAGGGCGAAACTTTGGCGCTGCCCAGGAGATGGCAAGGCACTCCTTTTCTATTGGCCTCAGCCTTGAAAAGTGAGCGGCTAGCGTAACTGATGACTCTTTCCAGGCCGTGGGTCTTTTGCACAAGGACGGCGCCGAGTTCCACGTTGCTTGCCTCTGTGTGTACTTTTTTTTCGCCGTAATCATCAAAATAGGCAAGTATCAGCGGTGTTTGCTGGCGTCGTTCAAGTTGCTGAAACACTTCCTCTTGTGCTGTTTCCCACCTTAATTTGACGTCTGTTTACATGAGGTGAGTTAGCGAATGGCTATCTGTGAGAATCTCCTGACGAAACGCCTAAAATAGGCGCACAGTCTTAGGCATTGTCATGCTGCCTTCTTGTTGGGGAGGTGGCAGGAAATCTGCGATGGCGGCCTTGCTAATGCTAATAGCGTGTCCCAGAAACAAGAGCTCTTCGTACACGAAGCGGCACTTTTCTGGCTGCAGGGTGAGTTCGGAGGTCTTGATAGCTTGAAGTACTGCTTCAAGGCGCTGGAGATGCTTGTAGAAGCACGAGAAAATTACGTCTTGCAAGTAGACGAGGCAAGAGTGGCTATGTGGGCTTGTTGGTGATGCACGAGGCAAGTCTGAAATTTTAATTCAACCAGCACCGTGTTCATAACACGCTGGAATATGGCAGACGCTGAGCAAATACCACGTGGCATGACCTTGAACTCCGAGAGGCCATCTTGTGTGATGAAGGCAGTCTTCTTTCAATCTCTTTCATCGGCCTCAATTTGCCAATAGCCGGTCTTGAGGTCCATCAACGAAAAGTACTTCACGCTGTTGAGTCGATACACGGTGTCATCTATACGTGGGCGAGGGTTCACATCCTTCATAGAGATTTTGTTCAGGCGGCAGTAATTGACGCAAGAAACGTAGAGTTCCGTCCTTTTTTTTTTTTTTTTTTTTCACTACTACCACAGGTGACATACATGAACTCTTGCATGGCTGAATGATGTCGTTGTGTAGTATTTCCTCCCCTTGTTTCTTCACGGCCCCGCATTTGCACATCGAAACTTGGTACGGGCTCTGTTGAAGTGGTTGGGCACCTTCTTCTGTTACAATGTGATGTTTGGCGACTAGGGTTTCATTTCATTTCATTTTATTTATTTACTCATTTACTCTCAAGGCACTGGGCATTACACAGAGGAGTGGGACAACAAATATCAATAAGAAGTAAAACAAAACAGTTGGATTAGAATAAATTA